CCCCGGCGCCATCCCCCAGAAACAATGGGTAGGCGAATATCCAGGAAAGCCAATATCAAGCATCGCAAGAGAAAAAGCGCACAAGCACAAACTTTCGACTGTCCGCGCGGGTGTTTTGGATCTGCGCTGGACTCCTCCCTGCCGCGATGAGCGCACCAGGAGCGGCGCCAGAGTCGCCGCCAAGGGGCGCCAGCGCAGACCCAAGAAGTCCGCGCAGACACTCGAAAACTTATGCCTATGCCGTTGTCTCCTTCGATGGATGGCCCTGACTGGTCTGGATAGTCGCCTCCCCGCTGTTCCTGGGGGCCGGCACCGCGGTCGTTTCCGTTGTTCAGAGGGCGCTGGCGTGCTGCAGAGAGGTTGACACGCGAGGACCTGAGAGTGCGCTGCCGCCTTGACTGTTGAACTTCTTGGTCCCCCGGGGGGCTTCCCTTGCCCACGGCTGGATGCTCCCCTCGAAACGCCGGCCAGAACGCACCCCGGGGCTTATGATGTTCAATCCTGCTTAAGCCTTGATCACCAGAAAGAACTTCGAGCATCGATACTGGAAGGCTTTCACGTGTCGGGCCCCAAGAGGCGATCTTCGTTCGGCACTTCGCCAGCGTGTCGGGCAGACATTATTTCGATACTTCAAGGGGTGCTCAGACTATTTCTGGGATGTGGCCCTCAAGTACGGTGGGAACAGCATACCTGGGGCACCCGGCTATACGCCAGAGCGGCCCCCGGCAAGAGTGAGCGACCCTGTCCCTGCAGGATCCTGCAAGATCTTGCGCTCTGGCTGACCCCCGTTTGCATTGACCCCCGTCTCTTGAGCCCCGAAGCCCGCACCGAAGGTCACTCTGGCGAAGGGTCACTCTTACGTGCAGTCGACCTCCCGCATCCAGCGGCTCGGTCAGGTGGGCCGCGGCCGGCTGCCCTCCTCGCTCTGCGCCCTTGGAGGCCGACCCCGGCCAAACAGCCGCACGGGGAGGGAAAGCGGCCCCAGGGAGAGAGGAGGAGGAGGGGGAGGAGGAGAGGAGGAGGAGGAGGGAGGAGGGGGGGAGGGGGAGGAGGGGGAGGAGGGGGAGGGAGGGGGAGGAGGGGGAGGAGGGGGGGAGAGGAGGAGGGGAGAGGAGGAGGAGAGGAGGAGGAGGAGGAGGAGGAGGAGCTGGCAGTCGTCCCTCCTCCTCCTGTCGCCCCTCCGTCCGTCCGGCTCGCCCTGGGGAAGCCCAGCCCCTCTGTCTGCGCTCCCGTCCGTTCAAGCCGCGTGCGGAGGGAGAGAGGGCGAAGGGGAGGGGCGCGCGCGGGCCGCGTGGGCCGCAGCCCCGAGTGGGCCCGCAGCTCCGAGCTCTGGCAGTCGTCCTCCTCCTCCCCCCCCTCCCTCGTCGTCCCCCCTCGCCGTCGTCGTCGCCGCCGCCGCCGCCACCACCACCGTCGCCGCCGTCGCCGTCGTCGTCGTCGCCGCCGCCGCCGCCGTCGTCGTCGTCGTCGTCGTCGTCGTCGTCGTCGTCGTCGTCGTCGTCGTCGTCGTCGTCGTCGTCGTCGTCGTCGTCGTCGCCGCCGCCGCCGCCGCCGCCGCCGCCGTCGTCGTCGTCGTCGTCGTCGTCGTCGTCGTCGTCGTCGTCGTCGTCGTCGTCGTCACCTCCGTCGCGGGGCCCACCGAACATACTCGGGGGGTCGGGGCTTCTGGGCTCCTCCGCTGGGCCGAGCCGCGGGGGACCTTCCGAGGAGGCAGGGGGCATGCTCCCCGGAAGGAATCGGGCGGGACGGGACGGAGACGAGGCGAGACGCGGCAGTTCGCGCCAGAGCGCGGTTCCTGAAGAGCGCAGCGGGGGCGCCGGGGCGCCGAAGCTCAGGAATGGAAGAGCCGTGATGCTTGCCCTTGCTGTTTCGGGATCCTCTTGCGCTGTTTGCCTTTGCTGTGCTGCGTTCCTGTTGACATGCGAAACGCGGTGCCAACATACTACATGTGTTGCAAACGTTGCGGTGACTCGGGTCTCGGTGTCTCAGAAGCAATCGGAGGCTTTTAAGAAGGCCTCTTGGACGAGGGACCCCGAGGAGATCCACCCTGACATCCGATGCCTTGATTTCTTCCATACGGGCTGCCCAGCACGGAAGAATGACCCTGGGCAAGAGTGACCTTTGGTGCGCGGCTTGCCGACCGTTGCATGCGGTGCAACAGAGGCGGCCTGCGTGTTTGTGCTCGGCCCCGCCGCACCCCCCGAAAGCACCGCAACAAAGGCCACTCTAGCGAAAATTAACACTTACGTGTCGCCGATTTCCGTAAGGCCCGTTTCCCTTCCCGAAGCCATTTTTGGCAGCCCCGGGGCCCAGGGAGTGCCCCCAGAGGCCAACAACAGCCACAAGCCTTCCACGCGATGCTTTCACGACGCGAGTACGTCTGGGCACAGAGGGAGCGACGACGCCGACGCCGACGACGCCCACGACGCTGACGCCGACGCCGACGCCGACGCCGACGCCGACGAAGACGACGACGACGACGACGACGACGACGACGAGCGCCGCGGGCGCCTGGCGCAGGGCCGAAGAGGCCAGGCCTCGCCGGGGCGCCGCCGGCGGGGCCGAACAGGCGCCCCCTGCGCCCGCGAGGGAGCGCGCGGAGCTGCCGCCGCCGCCGTGCCGTGGCCGCCGCTTTCAGTCTCTGGGCGGGGGGGATCTCACGGCTGCGCACAAGGGTGGCAGTCGTCGGCGTCGTCGGCGTCGGCGTCGGCGTCGGCGTCGGCGTCGTCGGCGTCGTCGTCGTCCTCGGTCGTCCTCAGTCGTCCGTGGTCGTCGGCGACGGCGATCGGCGCCGGCGTCGGCCTTGGCGTCGGTGTCGGCGTCGCCGTCGTGTCGCCGGCCGCTGACGCCGCCGTGGCCGCCGCTCTCGCTCCCTGCGCGCGGGGGCGGCCCTTCAGCGGCACCTCGTGGGAGCCTCCTGGGAGCGCGGCTCCTCCACGGCGTCCCCGGCAGAATCCAGGGCCCAGCTCCGAGCCCAGGCCCCGGGCGCCGAGGCCCCCCGAGGTGCTCGGCCGCGCGGCCCGGGAGGGGCGCCCCCGCCGCCGAGGCTTCTGTGGCAACCCGCACTTCTTGCTGGCTCTGGCGAGTCCACGCTGACCGACGCGGATCGACGCCGCTTGTCGACGCCAAGCGAGGCTAAGTCGACGCTGAACAAGCGCCTTCCCGTCGCTCACCAGGCGCTGGCGCACGCTGCTACGCTCTCCGAAGACGAAATGAAGAGGACATACGATGCTACCATGATCTGCCACCGAAGGACCCTGAGCAGAAGTGACCCCTGGTGCACAGCATTAGGGGCCTCGGGGGAGGGGGAGAGAGGGGGAGGGGCAGGAGAGCCCAGAATCGAATCGATAAGTCGGATGAGCGATCGAAGTCAATCGGATCGGCAGAAATCGGCAGCCGAGTCGGGAAAAGTCACATCGGCGGAAATCGGCAGGCTAGTATGCCTCCAATATATAATCGGAACCCAAATCGAAATCCCAAATCGAATCGAATCGGAATCGGAAGCCATCGAAATCGAATCGAATCGAATCGGAGGATTCGAAATGAGCTCTGGAGGGGTGGGGCCAAGCCAAGCGCGCAAGCCAGCGCTTGGGGAGACCACCGTGGGCCGCCGCCGCCGCCGCCGTGGCCGCCGTCGTTTTGTCGTTCTCTGGGGGGGACCTCGTGGGGCGTTCGGCGTTCGAGGCTTTCGGACGTTCCCGTCCACTCTCTGGGACGCACAGAGACATACTGGTACTAGATGTCATCCTTGGAGGCGCGCGTCCGATATACCCATCTTGTGGTGTCTCGTTTTCCGAGCGGTGTGGCCAGGAAGCGCCCGCCACGACGCATACACTATCAGATTTCTCGGTGCGCGCGCGTCGCCCCTGGGGGGCGACGCGCATACATATATATATATATATATATATATGTCTATGTATACATATATATATATCTATAAATCTATATATCTATCTATCTATCTATCTATCTATCTATCTATCTATCTATCTATCTATCTATCTATATATCTGTCTATCTATATATCTATATATCTATCTATCTATATATCTATCTATCTATCTATCTATCTATCTATCTATCTATATATCTATCTATATATATCTATCTATCTATCTATCTATCTATCTATCTATCTATCTATCTATCTATCTATCTATCTATCTATCTATCTATCTAGTACAAGTATGTTGGGGTGACGCCGCTTCTCGGCGGTTTTCCAGCCTCTGGGCGCTCTCCAGCAACTGCGCCTCCTCGAGGGCGAGGCCGGGAGGGCCAGCATCGCCCCGGACGGCCGCCGGAGGCCCGTGCCTGGCCCCCATGAACCGGGCGAAAGTGACTGCTCGGGGAGCCCTCGCAGCCGCAGCCGAGCGCGGGCCGATAATGGTCGCTGGGGCGGTGTCGGGGAGGGGGACGATAATGGTCGCTGGGGCGGTGTCGGGGAGGGGGACAGGAGAGAGGGGGGAGGAAGGGGGGGACGTGACAGGAGAGAGGGGGGGGCAGGAGAGAGGGAGGGGGGGGGGAAGGAGAGAGGGAGGGAGGGGGGGGGCAGGAGAAAGGGGGGGGGGGAGAAAAAAGGAGAGGGGGGGGGAACAGAGAGGGGGGAGGGGGACAGGAGAGAGGGATGGAGGGGGGACAGGAGACCAGGGACCGGTCTTGACCGGCGGCCGTACGACGACGGCGGCGACGCCAGACTGCGGACGACGGACGACGGCGACCGACGACGACAGAGACGACGACGGACGACCAAGAACGACCACGGACGACGACGACGACGACGACGACGACGACGACGACGACGACGACGACGACAGACTGCGGACGACGGACGACAGCGACGACGACGACGACGACGGACGACGACGACGACGACGACGACGACGACGACGACGACGACGACGACGACGACGACGACGACGACGACGACGACGACGACGACGGACGACGACGACGACGACGACGACGACGACGACGACGACGACGACCGACAGCAGCGCGGCCTGCCGTCGCCGCCCTCCGCCGCTGGGGCCGGCGCGCTGGGCGGCTGGAATGCAGCGGGCCTCGGGATGCCGGCCTGCCACGGCGGGCGGCGAACGCACGGCGGAGGCAGGCGACGTCGCCGTCGTTCGTCGTCGGCGCATCGTCGTCGTCGTCGTCGTCGTCGTCGTCGGCGTCGTCGTCGTCGTCGTCGTCGTCGTCGTCGTCGTCGTCGTCGTCGTCGTCGTCGTCGACATCGTCGGCGTCGTCGTCGTCAGCGTCGGCGTCGTCGTCGTCGTCCTCGGTCGTCCTCGGTCGTCCGTGGTCGTCCATGGTCGTCCGTGGTCGTTCTCGGCCAGAGGGCGGCGGCGCGCGCGGACGACAGCGGCGGCGGCGACAGCGACGGACTGTGGAATGCGGCCGACGGCGGCGACGACGGCGACGCGGCTGGCGACGAGCAACGGCGACGGACGGCGACGACGACAACCAAGGACGACGGCGACGGCGAGGGCGACGGACGACGGACGACGGACGATGGGCGACGGACGACGACGACGGACGACGACGGCAGCGACGACGACGGATGGCGGGCAACGGACGACGGCGGCGGCGGCGACGGCGACGCGGCGGGCGGGCTGCGCGCCGATCAAGATCCTCCCTCCTTCGGTACTCCAACTCTCTCTGACGTCCCTCCTCCGAGGGGACGCACTTAAAGAAGTCCCACAATCAACACACAAGCTAGCCACACAATCACCAAAGCTGACTACTCATATAAGAAAGCCACGTGCCAGGGGTCAGGGGACATGCCTGCATGTCGGCTTTGCGGAGGCACGATTTACTTACGAATCTGTACGGTGGGGGGGGTGTTTTTTAGACGCGACCTCCTCACATCCACGCCCGTGGCCGTCGTCGCCGCAGCTTCAAGAATCGAGGGCTCCAGCTGCTGCAGGACCCCTCTCGGCCTTCGGAATCCTCCAGACACTCCTCCTCCTCCTCCTCCTCCTCCTCCTCCTCCTCTCCTCCTCCTCCTCCTCCTCTCTCCTCCTACTCCCTCCTCCTCCTCCTCCTCCTCCTCCTCCTCCTCCTCCTCCTCCTCCTCCTCTCCTCATCCTCCTCCCCCTGCCCGTCCTCCTGCGCTCCTCCTCCTCCTCCTCTTCCTCCTCCTCATCCTCTCATCCCTCCTCATCCTCCATCCTCCCCTCCTCCTCCTCTCCTCCTCCTCCTCCTCCTCCTCCTCCCTTCTCATCATCATCTCATCATCCATCATCACCATCATCATCGTCATCATCATCATCATCATCATCATCATCATCATCATCATCATCATAATCATCATCATCAAATCATCAGCATCATCATCATCATCAGCATCATCATCATCAATCATCATCAATCATCATCATCATCATCACATCATCATCATCATCATCAACATCACATCATCATCATCATCATCATCATCATCATCATCATCATCATCATCATCATCATCATCATCATCATCCATCATCCTTCTCCTTCCTTCTCCTTCTCCTCCTCCTCTCCTCCTCCTCCTCCTCCTCCTCCTCCTCCTTCCTCCTCCTCCTCCTCCTCTCCTCCTTCCTGCCCCTCCCCTCCTCCTCCTCCTCCTCCTCCTCCGCACAATCTCCCCCCTCAGCCTCCCCCCTGCCTTTTGCCCCTTGCCCCCTCCCGCCCGTCGTCCTCCTCACCGCGTTCCCTCCCCCCCCCTTCCCGAGGCCGCCGCCACCGCCTTGGCCACCGCCAGCGCTGGCCGCCACCGCCGCCGGCATCGTCGCCGCCGCCGCAGCGGCAGCGCCCGCGGGCCTCCGCCGCCGCTGGCGTCGCGGCCGCGGCTGAGGGCCCAGCGGACCTGGTCGCCGCCGCCGCCGCCAGCGCCGACGCCGCCGCCGACGGCGCGGCCGCCAGGTCCCCTAGGGAGGCGGGGCCGCCGACCGCGAGGGCGCGCGAGAGGCCCCTGCGGCAGGCCCTGCACCGGGGCGAGCGGTCTTCGGTCGGCTGGCCTCCCCGTCGTCATCTGCCGCCTCCACCGCCTCCTCCTCTGCCTCCCTTCGCCTCCAGAGGCACAGGATCTCCCAGAGGGGCCCCGAGCGTCCCGGGAGCCGCGGAGCCATCGATCCCCGATGCCTGGGCCCCCGAGCCCTGGCGCCTGGGGAGGGGGGGCCCACGCCGCTGCCGAGAACCTCCAGCCTCGATCCTCGACCCTCTCGAGCCTCGAGCCTCGGTCCTCGAACCTCGGCCCTCGACACTCGAGCCTCGAGACCCTCCTGAGGGGGCGCCGGCTGAGGGCTCTGCCTGGACCACCGAGATCCTCCAGCCTCGATCCTCGACCCTCGAGCCTCCCCTCTCGAAAACCTCGAGCCTCGGCCCTCGACCCTCGGCCCTCCGTGCTCGAGCTCCTCGAGGCGGCGCGACAACGGGAGCGAGCCACAGAGAAAGCCGCCGAGGGCAGGCTGCCCCGAGGGCCGCAGCGAGGGCGGCGCCGCCGCAGCGGCGGCAGCGGCGGCGGCCACAACGGGCAACGGCGGCCGGCGACCACGGCTCCACGTTGCTGCGCAGCCTCTCCAGCTCGAAGGCGGCCCGCTGTATGTCCGCCTGCCGGCGCAGCTCGGGGTCGTCCCCAGCCGCCGCCTCGAGGGTGCGGACACTCTCCTCCTCGGGGAAGGGGGGGGGGAGGGTGGAGGGGAGGGGAGGGGAGGGGAGGGGAGGGGAGGGGAAGCAAGCTATGTGCGTTCGCGCCTCATCCGACATCCTACCCTCCTGCCTTTGCCACTGCGCTAATCATTCGTCTTCTCACTGGATCGGGTTTCGAACCAGACCTTCATGCCGAGATGGGCCAAAGGGGACCAAGAAGCCTTGACACGCAGACCGAGACCGAGGCCTCGAAGAAGCTTCGACCCAGAGAGAAAGGCAACAGTGGCGAAAGTGGCGACAGTTTCGCAGTTCGCAGCCACCGTTTCGCAGATCGCAGCCCCACAGGGACGGCGAGGCCTCGTCGGATCCCCACGAGACAGGGAGGAGGAGGAGGAAGAAAACAAAGAGGAGGAGAACGGAGGGAGGAAGGAGGAGGGGGGAGGAGTGAGTGAGTGCGTGATGGAGACCACGGTGCTCTATTCAAAACGAGAACCCCAGACAAGGGAGGGTTGAGAAACAGAAAAAGAAGAAGAACAACTACAACAAGAAGAAGAGAAAGAATAATCATAATAATAATAGTAATAATAATAATAAGAAGAAGAAGAAGAGGAATAACAAGAAGAAGAAGATGATGAAGAGGATGGATAAGAAGAGGAAAAATAAGAAGAAGAGGAGAAGCAGGACGAATAAGAAGAAGAAGAATAAGAAGAAGAAGAGAAGCACACAGGCTGCACAAGCAGACATCTTCGAGGGCCCGCGCGTCTCTCGGGCCGGCGCGCCGCGCGGCCAGAGCAGCCAGAGCGCAGAACGCAGGACACGGCTGCAGTCGCCCAGAGGCGCGCCTACGAGGCGGGCAGGAGAAGGAGGAGAAAGAGGAGGAGGAGGAGGAGGAGGAGGAGAAAGAGGAGGAGGAGGAGGAGGAGGAGGAGGAGGAGGAGACGGCGGCCCGCAGGCCCTCACGGGAGCGCCCCACACAAGCACCCGGACCTCGCGAGGCCGCCGCCGCGCAGGACCTTCCGAGGATGTGATGGTCTGCTGGCGATCGGCGGTGCTGCATCCCGGCCTCCGTCTTTCCGCGGCCCCGGCCTCTCGGGCACGCCCCCTCGGGCCCAGGTTACCAGCCTCGAACGTATCCCTATCCCTAAGATTGGCACGCCAACAGGCAATGACAATCTCAGGGATCCGCCCTCAAAATATACGGGAACCCCTAAGACTGGCATCGTGATGAGGAGGTACCCAGCATAGGGATAGGGATACGCTCCAGGCTGGCAACCCGGGACCGTCAAGAGCACATAAAAGAAGCATATGCCCCGCGGGGAGGCGCCGCCCAGGCCTTCCGACGACAGGATCATGTCGGGAGCGGCCAAGAGGGGGGTGCCCAAGAGGGGGGGGTGCAAATCATGCCCGGCGGCACGTGCGCGGCCCAGCAGGGGGGCCAGGGACGTCATGAAACAAGAAGAGGCGCCATGAAATCTGGGCAAATACCATGGCCCCCGCCACGATATCCACCCCCCCCCTAGTCGTCACCCCCCTCTCTTCCGCCCCCGAAGGACAGGATCGTGTCTGTCTGCGACCGGCGGCCCCGGGATCCCGGCCCTCTGCCGGGCCTCGGCCCTGGCCTCCTCGGGGCACCCAAACATCCGACGTCTCGATTTTTTCGAGACGCGGACCCCCGACCTCCCGACCACTTCCCTGGGACCGGTTTTTCATCCCGAGGCGTTTTTTGACGGTCCCGAGGCCCGGCGAGGGCCCCGAGAGGCCAAAAACTATGAAAAACCTCTGTCTCGATGTTTTCGAGACGCCCGATGTCTGGGCACGTCCCCCGGGGCCCCCCGCGGGGGCCGCCGAGAGCGGCGAGGCTGCCCCGCGGGAGAGGCGCGGGGCCTCTCTGAGGCCGCGCCGGCGCTCCTCCCGCGCTGTGCTCTTCTCTCGCGCCTCGGCCTCCGACTCGCTCCTCGGCCTCTTCCTCCTCCTTCGGCCTCCTCCCTCCTCGGCCTCCTCTCGCTCCTCTCCCCCCCCATGCCTCGGCTTCCTCCTCCTCCCGCCGCCCCCTCTCTCTGTTCTGCCCCTCCGCTCCGCCCCTCCCCTCTTCCCTCCCCCCCCGAGAGGGCCAGATGGTCGCAGAGCTGGGGCGGTGTCGCCCTGGATCCGTCTCTGAGCGCTCGGGGACCGATACCAAAAAGAGAAGGCCCCAGAGGCCCCGGCCCTTGCCGCGGGGCGGGCCTGCGTCCTGGACCCCCGTGGTTCGTTCCTGCCCCCGGGGGCCCGAGGGCGGGACCTTGCCGAGGGAAAGCGCTGGGAGTCCGACAGTCACATCCTCGGAGATCTGGGGCTGTCGTCGTCCTCGCCGTCGTCGTCTGCGCGCCGTCTGCGCGCCCTCCGGCCCGAGAGCCCCACTGGGGGGACGACGAGCTGGCCACGGGCCGCCCTGGCCGGAGTCGGATCGATGTAAATCGGCTCGGCGATCGAAGCGAACCGGATCGGCGGAAGTCGGCAGCCCGGTCGGGAGGAGTCGAAGCGGCAGAAATCGGCACGCCGGCGAGGTCTCCACGGAGAATACCGGAGCCCGGATCGGGAGCCGAAGCCGAAGCGAATCGGAGTCGGGAGCCACCGGCACCGAACCGAATCGAGCCGGATCGAATCGGAGGAGACGGAAGGAGCCGTGTCCTCTTGGCCGCCCCCGAGACTCTTGGACCTCCTCCTCCTCCTCTGACGTGCGGTTGTCAGGCTATCAGCTCGCGCCTGCGGCGGCCGCTCGGGAGGATCCGGGCGGCCCCTGGAGCGCTCTCGGCGAGGAGCAGCACTGGAGGCCATCCCGAGGCTTAGGTCGGGCATGTCCTCCTGCAGGCGGATCCCAGACATCGGGCGTCTCGAAAAAATCGAGACAAAGGTTTTTCATAGTTTTTGGCCTCTCGGGGCCCTCGCCGGGCCTCGGGACCGTCAAAAAACGACTCGGGATGAAAAACCGGTCCCAGGGAAGTGGTCGGGAGGTCGGGGGTCCGCGTCTCGAAAAAATCGAGACGTCGGATGTCTGGGATGTGGGAGGGAGAATGAGAAGTAGTGAAAAAAAGAAGCTGGTCACGAGAGCACGCAAAATCGTCACCTGACCATTGCGGCTACTGCTCTTGAACATTCCTCCTGCAGCGGAGCGTGCCCGACTCGACCCGAGGCCAGGAAGCCGCCGAGGGCCCACGAGAGCGCCCGAAAAAGCAGTCGAGCCCCGAGCTGCCCCCCCCCCTGGGAGGCGCAGCCGCTGGGGGTGGGGGCAGAAGGCCCCAGGAAGCGGCCAGCCGCCGAGAGGACCAGCGAAGGTGCTCCCGCGGGCCTCGAGCCCCGAGCGGCCCTGCCAGGGGGCGGCGCGACTCAGACCCCCTCGTGAGCGTTTTTGTTCGGCGTTTCAACAGTGGGCGGAAAGTGAAAGGGGAGGGGTGGAGGGGGGGGGGTCTGGCTCCAGACCCCTGCTCAGTGCGACGGTTTGCAAGAGTGCTGCCTCTGAGGGGGACTCCACCCACTCGAAACAGGCGCCAAAAAACAGCCAAGCTCTACTTCCATGGGGGGGGAGGGGGGGGGGAGGGGGCCCGAGCCGATTGGCAAAACAATCTAGAAAAAAAAACAATCTATGAAAAACACGACGGGAAGCGTTTTGCTACTTTGGGGGGAGTGAACAATGACACAAACATCATAACTCGGAGGTCCGCGCGGAGTTCTCGTATCGGCGCTGACCCCCCCTGGCGGCGCCTACGGGGCCGCCCCGTGCGCGCTCCGCAAACCAAGGAGGGGGATCCAGCGCCGATCCGAGAAATCCGCGCGGACCTCCGAGTCATCACGTTTATGTCCTTGCTTGTTTCCCTAACTTTCGGCCTCTGGGAGCCCTCACCGGGCCTCGGAACAGTCAAAAGGCGACTCGGGAGGAAGAACCGTTCCCGGGGAATGGGTCGAGACCTCTGGGGGTCGACGTCGTGAAAAGGTCACGACGTCGAAGGTTTGGGCTGGGGCGCACGGTTTCCCACGGGGCCATAGGCGACCCGAGGAGGAGGAGGAGGAGGAGGAGGAGGAGGAGGAGGAGGCGGAGGAGGAGGAGGAGGATGGGAGGAGGGCGGAGAAGGGGGGAGTGGGGGAGGGGGAGGAGGAGGAGGAGGAGGAGGAGGAGGAGGAGGAGGGGAGCGGAGGAGAGGAGGAGGAGGAGGAGGCGGAGGAGAGGAGGAGGAGAAGGAAACCGTAGGAGGAGGAGGGCGGCGGAAAGAGTGAGGAGGAGGAGGAGGAGGAGGAGGAGGAGGAGGAGGAGGAGGAGGAGGAGGGGGAGGGAGGAGGAGGAGGAGGAGGCAGGAGGAGGAGAGGAGGAGGAGGAGGAGGAGAAGAGGGGAGGGGAGGGGAGGGAGGGGGGGAGGGAGGGGAGGGGGGGATGCAAGCTAGGTGCGCTCGCGTCATACCTGACATCCTACCCCTCCCTCCCATTCCTTACCATGGCGCAGATCCCCTCTCTACTCGCTCAGTCGGATGTCGAGCAGGGCAATGATCCCGAAAGGGTACGCGATGCATTGTAGAGCACGGCATAGCATGGCGTAGAAGAGCACCGCGAAGCGTAGTATCAACCTAGCATTGCATTGCATGCCGTGGCATGGCACGGGAAATGACGCCAGCGCTGCAGCGGGAGCACGAGTCGAAACGAGCGGAAGAGCGGAAATGAGGCCAACGCTGCAGCGGGAGCACGATTCGGAACGAGCGCCAGAAGCAGAAATTCAGCATTTTCAAAAGAAAAATGTGTATTGGAATGGCCTTTTTTCGGCGCCGCCTCGGAACTCGATTTTCTGGCGCCGGCCGGAACCGGCTCCGGACCCGGCCCGGCCGCCGGCCTGGGCGCCGGTTCGGGCGTCCGGCCCGGGCGCCTGCTGCTCGGGCGCCGGCCCGGGCGTCGGAATCGGCCCGGGAGGCCTCCCGGGCGCCGGAAGCAGAAATTCAGCATATTCGAAAGAAAAATGTGTATTAGAATAGCCTTTTTTCGGCGCCGCCTGGGAACTCGATTTTCTGGCGCCGGCCGGAACCGGCTCCGGACCCGGCCGGAACGCCGGCCCGGGCGCCGGCTCGGGCGTGCAGCCCGGGCGCCAGCGGAAATGATGCCAGCGCTGCAGCGGGAGCACGATTCGGAACGAGCGGGGCCCGAAAATGAGGCCGGCGCCTTCAGCGAGAGCAGCATTTTGGAAAAAAATGCACGCGAAAACCCAACTCCGGGGAAACCTGTGTAAAAAGACAGTGCACGGGGGGGGGGTCGAATACTCCCAAGCCGTCATCAGGGGAAGAGGGAGAGTAGTATTCATATTGAGTAATTGTCGAGGAGGATGAGGAGGAGGAGGAGGAGGAGGAAGAGGAGGAGGAGGAAGAGGAGGAGGAGGAGGAGGAGCAGGAGCAGGAGGAGCAGCAGGAGAAGGAGGAGCAGCAGGAGGAGGAGGAGGACGGGTCGCCCAAACCCATCGGAGAACCCCTCCAGGCTGTGGGCGGCGCGAGGCGGTCCTGGTCCCGGAGGCGCTCTATCAGCCGCTCCTTCTCGCGCCGCTGCGCCTCCGCAGGGCCGTGGGCGCGCGGTGCCGGGGGCCGCCAGGGGGGGGGGCCCTCGGAGGCCCCCCCGTCGGATGGGGCCTGCGGAGCCCCCAGTGCAGGTGCCGCCGCAGGGCCTCTGCTAGGGCGGGGGGGGGGGGGCCGGCCGCTGAAGGCTGCGGGGGGGATGGGCCGCTCGCCGCTCTCGGCGCCCAGCGGCCCCCTCGCGCCGGGCCCCGGGGCCGTCGGAAGGGGCGGCCGGGGACGAAGGGCCGATCCTGGGGAGCGGGCCGAGACGTGCGGCGGGGCCCGCGCGGGAAAGATCGAGGACGGCGGGTCCTTTGGGAAGAGAGGGGCGCCACGCGTCGAGGCTCTCGGTGCCCTGGGAAGAGCAGCTGCCGCGCGCTGCGGGCCTCTCCAGCCCGCGGGAGCGCGTGGCGCACCAGGCGGCGCCCCGGGGAGGGGAGCCGCCGCCTGCTGCGGCCCCGCGGGTGGTGCTCCGAGGCTCGCCACGCGGAGCGCTGCGCTGGCACGGGGCCGAACTCGTCGCGGGCACCTGGACAAGAGGCGAGTGCCTGTGGCGGACTTCTGGGGCGGAGACGAACAGGATGTAGGTGGAGCAGGACCACGGGGAGGCTGAGTCGAGGGAGAGCGGGGGGGGAGGACGAACGCGGGGCCAAGGATTACGGGAAGAAGGAAGGGCCGCGCTGGGGCGAGAGCTAGACGCCGATCCAAAAATGAGGCCATCGCTGCAGCGGCAGCACCGTTCTCAAGCACCGAAAACGTTCCGATTGAAACAAAAAACAGAAAAGGACGGGCGACCCACAGGCCATCTTCAGGGGAGAGAAGGATGTAGTATTCATACTGAACACTTGCACACGTGCAGAGCGAGCAGGGAGGCGTGAGGCAACAGTGCGGACAGGAGACGGAGGAGAAGGAGGCAGAGAAGAACGACGACGACGACGACGACGACGACGACGACGACGACGACGACGACGACGACGACGACGGCGAGTTTGCCGAGGAGCAGGCAGAGGGCGGCAGGGGCAGCATCACGCGCCCTCGAGCTCGGGCCGCCGCCGCCGCGACAGGCCGTCAACGTCCCAGTCGACGTCGGCACCGTCGGCGTCGCACATCGTCGTCGGCGTCGCCCGCCCATCGTCGTCCCCCGCCCTCGTCCCCTATCGTCCCACGTCCTCCTCCTCCTCCTCATCATCATCCTCCTCCTCTTCATCCTCCTCCTCCTCCTCCTCATCCTCCTCCTCCTCCTCCACCGCCTCCTCCTCATCATCCTCCTCCTCCTCCTCCTCCTCCAACTCCTCCTCCTCCTCCTCCACCTCCTCATCCTCCTCCTCCTCCTGTGTCCTCCTTCTCCTGCTTAATGTTACTAGAAGTTTACGATTCGTATCATTAACTTGCTTGATACTTTTGTTAGACCTAATAGATTGCGTATTATATTGATATTTATATATCAAAAAATAGTTCTTCTTAGTAGAGCTCATATGATCACTGCTAGTAGAAAGAATATCAATTACATTCATTAGTAGTGCTAGTCGTCAGTATTCCTATGATGGTGGATCATGCTCATACTATTCTTCGGTCTGGCTACTCGAACCAGTATTACTAAGATGCGTATGGCTAGCAGTGTTATTCGCTTCTTCATGTCAAGACTGATTAGATTCGTAATGCTTGGGTTAACCATATTGTAGTATTGCTACGTGTACGGACATTCCGGATATTATTTGTTTTTATCGCTGTGAGTAGTGTTAATTACTACGATTACTCAATGTATTATACGTATGACAAGTCGTAGTATTATTGATTTCTCTCCGTAGTAACAAGGAATTGGATATTAGTCATACTCTATTAGTCTCACTGCCAGGTTTCGAAATACGGTTGGTGTCAAAGTTCGTTGTCGTCTTCGTATTGGTATTATGCTTCATAATATTGGTGTTTTTTCTTCCCGACATGTTTCGTGGGGTTCTGGTGTTTTTTCCTGCCGCGCCGCACCCGCGTCTCCACACACCTCCCCTCCTCTCTCTTTCTTCCTCCCCTCACTCACACACACACACACACACTTCACTCTTCCCCCCCTCGTCACAGCACTGCTCAGCTCAGCTCAACTCACCTCAGCACAGCACAGCACAGCTCAGCTCAGCACAGCACAGCTCGGCTCAGCTCAGCACAGCTCAGCACAGCCCAGCACGGCTCAGCTCAGCTCAGCACAGCACAGCTCGTGGCACTTTCTCGACACCACAGGGGGTGCGCAGGGGTTGGTCCCTCAGCTCGGCCGCTATCCACGACACTGGCGCAAAGCCTAGCAGGCGTGGCACTCTCTCGACACCAAAGGGGGTGGGCAGGGGGTGGTCTCTCAGCTCGGCCGCTATCCACGACACTGGCGCAAAGCCTAGCAGGCGTGGCACCTTCTCGACACCACAGGGGGTGCGCAGGGGGTGGTCTCTCACCGCGGCCGCTATGCACGACGGTCGTCCAGGCACAGCAGGCGTGGCACTTTCTCGACACCACCAAAGGGGTGGTCAGGGGGTGGCTCTCAGCTCGCCGCTATCCACGACACGGCGCAAACGGACTAGCAGCGTGGCACTTTCTCGACACCACAGGGGGTGCGCAGGGGGTGGTCTCTCAGCTCGGCCGCTATCCACGACACTGGCGCAAAGCCTAGCAGGCGTGGCACTTTCTCGACACCAAAGGGGTGGGCAGGGGGTGGTCTCTCAGCTCGGCCGCTATCCGCGACATTGGCGCAAAGCCTAGCAGGCGCGGCACTTTCTCGACACCACAGGGGGTGCGCAGGGGGTGGTCTCTCAGCTCGGCCGCTATCCACGACACTGGCGCAAAGCCTAGCAGGCGTGACACTTTCTCGACATCACAGGGGGTGCGGAGGGGGTGGTCTCTCAGCTCGGCCGCTACCCACGACACTGGCGCAAAGCCTAGCAGGCGTGGCACTTTCTCGACACCACAGGGGGTGCGCAGGGGGTGGTCTCTCAGCTCGGCCGCTATCCACGACACTGGCGCAAAGGCTAGCAGGCGTGGCACTTTCTCGACACCACAGGGGTTGCGCAGGGGGTGGTCTCTCAGCTCGGCCGCTATCCACGACACTGGCGCAAAGCCTAGCAGGCGTGGCACATTCTCGACACCACACGGGGTGGTGCGCAGGGGGTGGTCTCTCAGCTCGGCCGCTATCCACGACACTGGCGCAAACCTAGCAAGCGTGGCACTTTCTCGACGCCACAGGGGGTGCGCAGGGAGTGGTCTCTCAGCTCGGTCGCTATCCACGACACTGTCGCAAAGCCTAGCAGACGTGGCTGGCTGGTCTGATTACCTTGGCTGGTTATGGCTGGAACGACTGATCCGACTGGTCTGGTCAGTCTGGCTGGTCTGGCTGATCTGGCTGGTCTGGTCAGTCTGGCTCGTCAGGATGGCGAAGCGGGATGTGGTATGGTTTGTGAACACACGTGACATAAAGTGAGTATGTGGGGTTCTTCGGTAGCGTAATTCGTATTCTTACTGATTTCAATCATCTAGAGAATATTGGAATTCGCTTACCAATAATTATATTACTCATCATCCTCCTCATCATCCTCCTATTCCTCCTCCTCTTCCTCATCATCCTCATCCCCCTCCCCCTCCCGCACCTCCTTCTCCTCCTCCTCCTCCACGTATTCCTCCTCCCTTCCTCTCCCCTCATCCTCCTCCTCCTCCTCCTATTCCTCCTCCTCCTCCTCCGCGCCCTCCTCCTGTTACGTTCCCCTCCTCCTCCTCTCCTCCTACCTCCTCCTCCTCCTCCTCTCCTCCTCCTCCTCCTCCTCCTCCCCATCCTCCCTCCTTCTCTTTCCTCCTCTCCTCCTCATCCTCCTACTTCCTCCCGCCTCTGCAACGCCGCCCTCCTTCTCCTCCTCCTCTTTTCCTCCTCTTCCTCCTCCTCCTCCGCATCCACCGCACCCCCTCCTCCTCCTCCTCCTCCTACACTCTCCTCCTCCCTCTCCTCCTCCTCTCCTCCCCATCCTCCTCCTCCTCCTCCTCTCCTCCTCGTCCTCCTCCTCCTCCCCATCATCCTCAGATATCCTCATCTCATCCCGATCATCATCATCATCACCATCACCATCATCATCATCTCATCTCATCATCATCATCATCAACATCATCATCCATCATCCTCATCATCATCACATCATCATCATCTCATCATCATCATCATCATCAATCTCATCGTCGTCCGTCGTCGTCATCATCATCATCATCAGCATCATCAGCATCATCATCATCCTCATCTCTCATCATCCTGCCTCCTCCTCCTCCTCCTCCTCCTCCTCCCCCACCCCCACTCCCACTTCTCATCCTCCTCCTCCTCCTCCACCGTCCCCTCCTCATCATCTGCCTCGTCTTCTCATTAGTGGTGTTATCCTTCTTATTATTCTGAGTACGTTTAATACGAATAGAGCTGTTAATATCATTCGTATGCAGGTTAGTATTGTTAGAAATGCTAGTTTTCGTAGTAGTACTGGTATTAATTTTATAGTTCGATGGATCTTCTTGGTAGTGATGGTAATATCACTCCTACTAGAAAGGGTATAAGTAACATGCCTTAGTAGTGTTCTTGGTCAGTATCCGTATAGCTAATTACCCTTGATCAGTTTAATACGACTGTTAACTCTGACTACTCGAATCAGTTTTACTGATATGATTATGGCTAGCAGTGTTCTTCGTCTTCTTCATGTCAAGAACATGTTAAACTTCTTAATACTTGGATTAACCCTATAATTAGTAGTGTTACGAATACGAGCATTCCGGTTATTATTCGCAGTGTTGCTGTGGGCAGCGTTAATAGTATGACTCAACTTGCTATACGTATGACGAGTCGTAGGAGTATTAATGTCTCTTCGTAGTAATAAGGAGATGGATAATAGTCATACTGTATCAGTATCACGGCCAGGTTTCGAAATACGATTGGTGTTAGAGTTCGTTGACGTCTTCGTAGTGGTACTATGTTTGATAAACGTGGTCCTTCT